TCCAAAATCGAACCCTAGGTCCATAACTTCACAAAATGACCAACAATTCATGCAAATCTTCAAGCTGACCTAGATCTACACAAAAGAATCATAAAGGTGAGAGCTTTATACTTTTAGAAGTTGGCAAAAGAAAATTAAACTCTGGATCTACAAGCTCCAAGCCCAAAAATCCTCAATGGTGAACTTCTGCTTCCTCCACAATGCACGAAGAACACCTTAAATGTCCTAAAAAAGCTTTCAAGTGTTAGGGTTTCGAAATGACAGAATGAGAGGCTAATGATAGGGGAGGAGGCCTCAAGGGTTATAAGGCATTCTTAACCCTAAAAATTTAGGGTTTGAGCTCAGTGGCTCTACGCCCTACGTACGTAAATTAGGCAATCTACGCCACACGTAAGAACCGAATTTGAAAGTTTTTAATACAATAAGCCATAAATGGAAATACTTGAGAACACGTATTTTACAAGTTCAGATGATTAAATTAGGCAAATTACAACTTATTGAAATTTTTTTATAGAATTTAATGTTCCATGTACTATTTTTTTATAACAAAATCAACTTATCAATGATTAAAATAGACAAACTTTCTAACATTATTAATTTTTTTTAAAGCTAAAGTGGTTTATATGAAAGCTTGTTTTTTTAAAATTCATATGACCACTAAACTTAAGTTTGCTATTTCTTTCCTTGTGGTCATGGAGGTTCGCCTGCAGTGACTCCAGGGCATGAGGCAAAGCCTCATGTTTGCAGCGGGGGATTAGTCGGTGCGCGAAAGCTGGCCCGGAAACCCTCGTTAGGGAAGATCCATTTCCAAAAAAAAAGTTTGCTTTATTACTTTATTGTTGTAAAGTTTATAAAATATTTTAATCGTTATATGAGGTAAAAAATTATAAATACGTGAATTTAAATAAAGTGGATGATTGGCCCTATTTATGGGGTGTTTGGCAAAAAAGCTTATGACATGTTAGCTTATAACTTATTAATTTATTAGCTTATAATTTAATTAGTCAGAGGGAGTTAACGTATCAAAAAATAACTTATTAACAGTTTGACACGGTTATAAGATATTTTTATCCAAACACTTTTTTAACTTATAACGGTGTGAAACTGTTAATAAGCTAATAAGCTCATTTGCCAAACATACCCTTATATCCTAAAAAGTGGAGTAGTTTCTCTAATAAATACACGTATGCAATATTAAAAGGGAATCATTTTTTCGTTTTTTTTTCCAGATTTAGACAACTTTTTTTATTGTACATATTTGACTATTTTAACTTGTTAAATGTGTTCACACATTACCGTTGTTACTGACTATCTTAAATGATAATGGTAACATGTGAACACATTTCACAAATTAAATGGTCAAATGTATTAAAAAAAAACAGAAATTGTCTAAATGTGAACAAAACAAAAAATTAATTACTTTGATAAGTTATTTTCCCCGCTTTTAATAGAGATTTTATTTTTTATATTTTTTTGTATTATTTTCCAATTGTTATTTAAAAAAAGTTGATAATGATTAATTATTTATCTCATTTATAGCATTTTGATTGGATAAATCAATTTTCTACTAAATTATTTTTAATAAAAACTTACCATCATAAATATTAATTAATCATTGATCAATTCTAATTTTTTTTAATATTTATATATATTTATTTTTATTTTTATGAAATATTTTATATAGCCTCTAATATATATATATATATATATATATATATATATATATATATATATATATATATACTTTTTAAGCAATCAGTATGTAAGATCGTTTAAAAAAATTAAAAGAAAATATTACGTAGCAAAAATATATATAATGTAAATGTTTTAAAATTATTAGAAATTTTTATACATTTTAATTAGTAGTTTATAAACTAATAAAATTTTTAATACAACGTTCTACACTTGTATCTAACGAAAGTATTTTAAAATGTTATAAA